TTACTCATTTTGTAATCTGTAACATAGAAAATATTTTCCAATTGTTAGTTTTGTACGAAAATATCACAAAACATATAATTAAAATGTGTATTTAAAACTTACCTTTGCACCAAAACGTGTTACACTTTCCTTTACAATTATTATGTTATCAAACAACACTGGATCTCGTTCAAAAACACAGGATTATGAGCTGAAATTACTATAATCACTATGTTACTAGCAACCTTTCTGCATTTACTGTTTGGTTTTCCCTAGTAGATACTGGATGAATTCAGAACCGAGTCAGACATTATTATACAGCTCACGGGTAGAAATCATAGAATGCTGGGTAAAGACTGTTGAAAGATAGGTAGAGTTGAACGCTCAGGTATCGTCGAACCTTCAGGTACGAGTTTGGAGAGTTGGAGCGAGGTAGATTTGCTGGCGTAGGTATATTGTTATTGAAGAAGATTGTAAATTGTATATACCTGGAATGAATAAAGAGTGCGGCGGTTGTTGATTGAGGTATCAGTCGACAGCCCTCTAGTTTGATGGAAGGTGACTACTGCGTTCTTTTTATTTATTATTAAGGAACGGTCAACGACGGAGCTAGCCTCGTTATGGCCAGCGTGGCCATGGTGGACTAGTTCCAACAAAGACCATGTTTACAATCACCAACTGTACGTAGTACAGCTAACTGGTATCTGATACTTGTTAGCACGTTTTCAGCACAACGCACCAAAAATCATTTGAAGAAATCATTGTTCCTGATAGTGGGATTTTGTAACTTGTTTTTCAAAATACTTTTAAGGCAGAGAATTTCACTCGAATCTTTAAGCTGTCAGTGTCATTTTAACTCAAAATTTTCCAATCTTTCCGAAAAAAATACTTTTGAAACTGGAAAAATACGGAGTACATCCGAAAAGGGCCAAAACTTATTAAGTTATCAAAAAAAAACAATATTAAATCAGTAATATCTTCTAAACGGTGCATCTTAGAAAAATGTTACCGAAGTACTTTTTGTTTGCAAATTTGATGTACTTTCATAAAATTAGGGTGACAAACTTTTTTGACTTTTCTTAATAGCTTTTTTGAAAATTGTATTTTTTTAAAAAACAATTTTTTTCATTGTAACCTATTTTTCTCCAGAACAACCTACTGTGCACTAGATAGCATTTTTAGTCAGCTATAACATAAGGATAATAAAAAAAATATTGACATGTCACTTTAAACGGAAAATTTATATTTTAGTTCAAAACACAAATATCAAACTTTTTTTTTACCGTGCATATTTTTTCCATATAACACCAACAATTGTCTAAAACTTCGCCCAAGAGACCAAACCAATCGGACAAACCGTTTCCGAGATACAATTTTTTGAAGATATCATGTGCATTTTTCATAGGCCCTTCTCATAAGTAAGGCTAGATTCAAAATGGCGAACCAAGTATGCAAAACGGCGTTTTTCTTCCCCAAAAACTTGTATGCAAAGTTTCATGCAAATCAAAAAATACAAAAAATAAAAACTGGAAAAATTTCCCACTTGTTCGTGGAACCGCTCCGTTACGACAAGTGACAAGTTTTCACCGTGAAGTGACATCCGTAATAAGCTCCAATGTAAAAAAAGCTCCATAAGAGACTGTGACGTCGGATTAAGGAGAGCTGGAGGGGGGAGATACCATAGAGGTAACTCTAAGACTAGAAGGTCCCGAAATAACGTGCTCAACTTTTTGGCTCAGCTCTGGTACTCTCTTCGGTCCCAAGCTAATCAATTCACCCCTCGAAACATAGGAAAAACCAATAACCCCTCATTTTATCTGTCAAACTTTCATAGCGAATCAAAACAAACATTGCGTAGTACTAGAATTTCGACTAGAATGGGATACGTTAATCGTTTGCTTGGGACCAATAGGCTAGTCAAGTAGTGAGCCAATTTAAAATCGTTAGTTTCGTATTGATTGTTGGAGATACTGTATAAGCAGTTGGTACTGCAAAATGTTCAATTTGAGGTACTAGCTTAAACGAGTACAGTGGAGAACTTTGCACGTCTTTCGAAGGCTTTAGATGCATTTAAGCTAAATATGTAATATATCATGCAATTTGACTAATTTTCAACTTCAGCAGTTTACTTTACTTACCCCGTAAGAGAAACACGGGACATTTATATAAGGTCTGGGCCAACAGGCAGCTTGCTGATGTTAGAAGCAAAAATGTTGTAGACATTGCTGAACATCTCCGAACCAGAGTTGCGACCTATCACAATCACGATCGCCAAACAGCTGATGGTAGTAACGCTTTGCACATTCCTATCAATGTGCTCGTCGAAGTTCTCTCCATGACCATCCATCAAGTTGACGAAAGAAGTAAAAAGCAACTGGTGAATGTCGTCTTCTGTTGTGATCCATCACCGATCTGGTCATTCCCGACAATCACGATACTCATCTGTGCTCGTTTTGAAGCAGTTGCTGCTTTGCTTGCTTGTGTGAGTGTGTTAGCGAGTGAGCCCAACAGCTTCCGTTTCATGGTACCTGCTTTGTTTGTAACTCACACAGTCGCGCCTGCCGAGACGAACTTGGAATGCGTAGGCATTGTTTTCATTTTCTTCTGTCGTTTCGCTTTTTCTCATGATCGTACTGCAGAAGTCTTCACTGTTTTCGTTGTGCTTTTCATTATCAGCAGCGAGTGTAACGTTTTGCTTGTGAGCAGCGACCATTACTGGTGATTGTTGTTTGCCATGGCTCTAACTCTCACTGCGTGACAAATTGATCTGTCAGCGATAGTCGGTTGATGCGAAGACGAGTGTCACGTGAGTGTCATGATATTTTGCAACACTGCTCCGAACAGATAGAAATACGTCACTGCCAACATACTGAGAACAGATAGAAATACCACTGCCAACAGCTGTTTCGTGTAAAAAGATAAACATTGCAATAAAATACGAACACCACTAAACATTTGCACATTTCACTAACACCAATAAGCCCTTTGGCCCAGACCTTATATAAACGTCATTGCATGCCGGGGACTTGCAGTTTTCACACTTGAACAGAACATTTCTGGATCAACAATAGAAAAGGGCCCATCAGCATTTGTAAACAAACCGTTCCAAAGCCCTTTACTCACAAAGCGAAGGCCACCCACGCAAACCAACACCATCATCGGATAGGGGAAACTTCCACCTACACGATGATGGTGTTGGTTTGTGTGGGCGGCCTTCGATTTGTGAGGAAAGGGCTTTGGAACGGTTTGTTTACAAATGCTGATGGGCCCTTTTCTATTGTTGATCCAGATTTGCATTGTCCGTGATAACCTTGCCTGAGTCCGCGGAAGTGTAGTGCATTTGCAGTGAAATACACGGGCACAATTACCCACACAGATAACCGGCAAATCACTTATTTTGTGTTTGAAAATATTCGGGGTTAAATATTCGAATTACCTTACCTGGCATCAGCACTTAACCAAATATTTCATATTAAAAATATGATCCATTCATGCCTTTTCCAAATATTGCAATGGCGACCCGCAAAATATTGCTTCAAGCACCATCTAGCGTTGAAAAAGGTCAGCAACAATCATTCAATTACAATCGAGGGGTGCGAATATAGCACTTATTACAAAAGTAAGAGTCACATTCAAGGTTGCAAAGACTCATTTCAGCTAAAATAATGTTTTTCGGAATAATAAAACCAAAAGATGGTATGATGGCATGTTTTACTTGTAACTTACAAGAAGAGGTTACAAAGTATGCGTTGGAAACATAAAACCTGTAAATTTTGCTTTCTATGAGTCACAATCAGCGATTTGCTGATCGCTGAGTGAGTGAGTGAGTGAGTGAGTGAGTTTGTGAAAAATCGCTGATTGTGACTCTAATGAAGTGACATAAACAGGTTTAATATGTCAAACACATTCTTTGCAACCTCTTCTTGTATCCTACCAATTCAAAATTTGATCATGGCATCTAATTATTTCATAATTTAGAAAAACATTGTTTTAGCTGAAATGAGTATTTGCAACCTTGGTCACATTATTGTCATTAATTACATTTTGTATATTACTTTAAAATTTGTCTGACATGTCACTGTTGTCATCAAATAAAATAATATGCTGAAATACATTAATTTGAAATATTAAACAAATTTTCATTTGGACTACCCCTCATGACGATAAACAAATACATTGGTAGCCTTTTTGGCCACAGAGGTGCTTTCATCGCTAAAAAATTGGTTCGCCAGCTAAGCGAAAGAGTGGATCATATTGTTAATATCAGTGCTGCACAATTTCGACAATACACAGTGATACTCAAAATTCTGCTTTGGTCACTCGTTTGAGCTAACAGTCATCGTCAAGGCAAACCATGTCAATTGTCAGTGGCATTTTTGTCAGTGACGAACATGTGCTGATTTGTTTATTAGCTAAATTTAAAATGAAATTAAATGTCTTGAGGAAAACATTCACATGGAGCCATTAAAGTGAACAAGCATCTACGTCCTGAACAGCTTGGATAACAATAATGTGACTCAGAATGCAAGAAATTACCCTTTCTGTTACCAGTTGAATCTTTGTCATTGACGAAAAAATGAATGAGATTTTGACAAAGATTTTTTTGAGGATCAAGTCTATCATTGACTATGTGACAAACAATTTTGTCAATATCGCGCAAAAGTCTGTCAATGACAATGACAAATCTCAGCACTGGTTAATATAATATATTTGACTTAACATTGAAAAATCGTTGTTTTATTTACATGGTCCAATGAAAGAATGGTGATTTTTATGCGATAGGGCGGAATTAGGCACTTTGTCCGAAGAAGTGCCTTGCCCTATTTGTTCTATTGTTTATAGAAATAGCAAACTAACAGCTTAAATTATGGTGTTTTAATGAGTACAAGATTTCTGGCAAAAATGATCGTCATTTTTTGTTATGTTTTCTCAGCAATATTGCCTTACATTTGACCAAGCAATGAACACTCCCCAATGAAACCGTAAATTTTCCATTAAAAATTCAATTTTTCAACAAACAGATGCCCGGTAGACGACAAGCTGATTTCCCGCTTCCGTGGCAGCTGGTCCGACGGAGGACTGTACGAAACGCAGGTCTACGCCTACATGAAAACATTCCGTTTTACCGGATCTCCTGCTCTGTACATCGAATGCGACGTCCGAATGTGCCACGGACGGTGTCCAGTAATTAGAGAAAATCTTGAATCCCGGAGTTGCAGAGCATTTGCTAACATTACTTTTGAAAACATTCACAGAGCCAACCATGTCACTGGAGAAACCTGAAGGGAATTGCCAAGCGGGAAGTTCAACAGGAAAACAATTCGACTCTCTCCGATAACATCAGCTTGTTCCAAGCGTTACGAGTTTTACAAGAGGAAGACGATGACGAGAAGATCAAGAAGGAAGCTGCTACTGTTGCCAGTGAGTATCCGAAAGATTAGTTTTGTCGGGGAAAAAAATAATACTTAGCTATAATTTTAGAACCGCAAGACGCATCGGAAACGTGCATGAAGACTTCGGTACTGTCCGCCATGTTGGCAACATGCTGCGTGGTCCTCTGCATCCTGTCCGGATCTCTTCTCGCTGCATGCGCCAAGCTGAGGTATCGCAAGAAGGACGATGGCTTCTTCAACGCTTACGTGGGTCACAAAGCCCAGTTGGATTAAAAGGTCAAACAAATTAACTTACGCTTCCACACCGTTTCCATAGTGCAACCCGGTGTTGCTCATCTCTACAACAAGTATTACAACGAACAAACAAACAAACAAACAAAGCCGTCGACAGTTGATTTCCAATTCGTAGAAGCAGAAGATTTTTCTCTGATATTTCCAGTTAGCTGTTAAGTTAGAAACCGTTAAGAAGAGAATACAAACGTATGTTTAAAACTAGGAAAAAAAGATGGTCAAGTGACTGTGGGCCCACACAGATGGATTTGGTACGGCCCCACTTTCTTGGCGCAGTCTTCAACGAATGGTCTGATATGAAAATTTTCAAAGATTTTCCTTAGCGTAAGGTTCGTTAGCAGAAAGAGTATGCGATATATTTTAGTGATAATACAACGAAAAGTGCTTTTCCTACCTTGAAATGGGACTGTTTTAAGGCAGGAAGAGTGAACATATTTCGCTTAGGATTAGAACCATTTCAGAACAAATTGCTTCTCTGATTAAGTGTACATAATGTTTTGGATGAACTCTTGAATTTTAAATTGCGTAAATTTGGTGCTATAACGAACTCTAAATCCTTCGATGGCACTTCAATTTTCTATTTTTTTTCGATTCAAATTTCTAAAAACTTGATTCACTTTTCATCAACCCCTGACGTATCGATAAGCTAAGTCTAATCTAAGTGTAAATATATTCTTAACAAATTATTCCAGAATAGCTATAATTCCATTCGAGTGCTAATAAAGGAGTATTGGACTAAAACAAAAACACACTATTTGGATCTCCGGTGGTCTGTCCGTTTTGCGTCCCATACGGGAATCCCATCTGTGGCGAAACGATTGCAATATTTCTCTTTCCCCGTCCACTCGTTCTCTCCCGTAAGATGACATTCCTGCGCTTGAAGAATCCAACCGGATACCGACTTGGTCTGAACAGTCGACTAGAATTCGCCCGAGTCTGCCTTAGCTGGTTTCCGCTGCCAGCTCTTCGCCTAGCACTGTACAAAGCAAATGGTTTCACAGCACAGTAGTAGAACAGTTCAACGATGCTCAGCACCGATCCTCCCATGCACAAACCGAAGATCCCACCGAACGAAGCCAGCAGCGAGTCCCAGGTCATGAATGCTTCTCGACGGTACTTGACGCAGTACAGGTCCTTGAAGTGAACGTGCAGCGTTGCGTAGGTGGATACGTTGCGGCCGCCACTGTGGAAAAGTTAAACAATGTTTTACAATGTTGGTGACACATGTGACACTGGTGATTCATTTAAATAAATTGATGGTTTGAAATTTGTGTGGGAATTACTAAGGACGAATTTTCTCTTATTTCGCCCTAACTTTGTTTCTGTTGAAAAAATTTAATATGTTCATTAACTTTATTACTTTATGCGTGGAGTTAACGATTTACATAGTTGGAGATGCTTAACGTCAAATATTAGGCTTCAAGTGGTCATTTTATACGATAAATCAGGAGATGAAAGTAAAGAGTTGATAGTTCCATTATAGTACGGCAGTACTTTCTATATACAATGTTCACACTGCCATACTATAAAGGAACTTTCTATACTACTTCTATACTTTTATCTCCTCATCTATCGAATAAAATGTCCACATTACTGTCTGATATTTGAGCGGCGCCGGTGGTGTAGTGGTAAACGTGATTGCCTCTCACCCCAAAGGGCCTGCACGGAAACTAGTCCGATAGCTGTGGGCTCTCCTCACTGCTGAACTTGATCAAGCTTAATAACTTCTGATTGTCATCAGCAAATCCATGTATGAAGGGCCAAAAACGAATAGATGGATTGAAGGGTTGCACAGTGGGAAAAAATGACAAAACCGCGATTAAATTGAATATCTCGGCTGCCAAACGGTTTCAGTCAACATGTTATACATATTCTCAAAGGAAAAATTCTGCTGAATCGCTTGGTAGTGGTCTCATTAACCGGAGAATTTTGCGTACCGAGATAGAGGGCCGGGATCATCCCGAATTCCCGGTAAAGTAGGAAATGCCACTATCTATCGACATAGTTTTGCATTTTACTTAACTTTTGACTGGAAATTGATAGTACTAACTATATATGGTGTAAAGACACCAAATACGCCCTCAGGGAAACTCTACTGGCCTAAAGGAGGATCAACGACCGATAAAGTGGCCACATTATAAAAAATTTCCTATAACGTTTAGATTTTTTCTATGATGTTCAGAATCAAGAGATCTTTGCTCGGGATGTTGACTGAAACCGTTTGGCAGCCGATATTTCAATTTAGTCGCGGGTTTGTCAATTTTTGCCCAGTGTGGGTTGATAGGCAATCCGCCTATTCATTTCCTTGGGACAGTTAGGCATATCCTTCTAACAACTTGATCAGCCAATTGGTCAGAAAACGAGCCATCCAACAGGAAGATGCCCCAATTAATGGGAGAAGAATATGCGAGTCGATTGAAATCTGCCGAAAATAAATGAGGGCTAAGTTGATTCTTAACATAGAAGCGTAGATGCATAGGTGAAGGATATAAGAAAGGAGAGTCAAAGGTGTTGACATGCAGAATTAGAAGTCGTCGATCCAGTGTCCGGAATAAACTCAGCGCCGACATCGCGTCTGACCATCACCTTTTAATCGGTGAAATCCGCATACGCATGGCGCGGATCCAGCGACGGGAGGAGAGACTCGGGTGGCGGTTCAACACACGCCGACTGGAAGATCCAGCGGTAAGAAGGTTTTTTGTTGAAGAACTTGAGACTCGAGCTGCGGACGTTCCAGAAGGTGGCCATCAAGAATGCCTTTATAGAAACAAGCGAGAACAACTTGGGTGAGCTGCGCACCCAGAGGAAAGAGTGGATCACAGGTGAAACCTGGCGGAAGATTGAGGAGCGTAGAGAAGCAAAAGCCGCGATAGAGCGGGCGAGAACCAGAGGAGCCAAGAACGAAGCAGTACAGTATGCTGAACGCTCCTCTGCGGCGGGTCTCAGCATCAACGTCAACAATACCAAATCGTTGGATATCAACACGGGCAACCCTTCCAACTTTACGGTAGCGGGGCAAGCAATGGAGAAGGTCGAAAGTTTCCAATATCTTGGCAACCAAATAGCGTCGGACAGTGGGACCAAGAACGACATTGGTGCACGAATCAAGAAGACTAGGGCTGCCTTTGCGAGTTTACGAAACGTATGGAGATCCAACCAGATAAGTCAACGCACCAAAATCCGAATTTTCAACTCGAACATGAAATCTGTGTTGTTATACGCCAGCGAGACGTGGTGTGTATCAGCGGAGAACACTCAAAAGCTGCAGGTCTTCATCAACCGATGCCTGCGATATATAATTCGTGCCTGGTAGCCTCACAACTGGATCTCGAATGACGAGCTCCATCGTCGATGTCATCAGAAGCCGATAGCAACAGAAATTCGAGAGCGAAAGTGGAGGTGGGTCGGCCACACACTTCGACGGGGCGTAAAAGAAATCTGCAAGCAAGCGCTGGATTGGAATCCGGCAGGACATCGCAGCAGAGGCAGACCCAGGGGCTCATGGCGGCGGAGCCTAAATAAGGAAATTAAGCAAGTCGATAGGAATCTGACCTGGGCCCAGGTCAAGGCAAAAGCGAGCAGCCGCCCAGGATGGAATTCTTTCACGTTGGCCCTTTGCACCGCTGGTGGTGCACAGGACCCTTAAGTAAGTAAGTAAGATCCAGTGACCTATCAACTCGACCTTCTCAGATTTGCATAAAACTTTGCGTAATTGTGTTATGGGCAATCATTCACATTTTTTTCAAAAAAGTTTGCATGTTTCATGAGATTTTTTTTTTAATTATATAAATTTAAGATACCGTTCCGATTCAAATTTCGGACGATTCAAATTTCGGACACTTCCATTTTTAATTAAATATTACATCCAGTTAGAAACAAAGTAATAATGTTAGATGATCGTGGAGGGCACTAGTCAAAAAAATTTGAAATTTACAAGACATGTGGATCATATTCGACCGAGATAATCAACTTTTAAAAGTGTCCGAAATTCGAGTTTAAGTGTCCGAAATTTGAATCGGCACGGTATATCTTTTAAATTATTTCAGTTAAAAGATAATTATAAAAAATGTGTTTATTTTTCTCATAAAGACTTTTCTCTACAACTATGGGTTTTGTTTTCGCTGGCGCTGATTTCATCTGTTTTTCGCATTTTTTTTTAATTGTATCAAATCAAACAAATATTAGTTTTTTCGTGTGGATAAGTGTAAATTAAGATCTATCACGTCTTAAGAAGTTTTTTTTTTAGTGATATTGTAATTAACGTGAACAATCTGGAACAAGAATTTGTTTCGAATAGCTGTGTGTCGCGTCGGTCGGTTTTTCATTTCGTTTGTTTTTGGTGCTTTGCCTCCCTCCCAAGAAGAGTTTTACCGGGTATTTTTTTTTTCTTTCTTGGTGCTGGCGTTCTGCCTTCCGGAGGATGCACGCGAATGAGGTGTCAAGCAAAAATTCGGTGCAAATGGAAAACTTCAAATGTGATTCAAAATGTCGTGTTGGGTTGTAAAAACCACGCGGAAGATTTTTTCGATTACCGCGAGTGAACAAACCGGTCCTTTTTCGGAGGCAGAATTTGGTGAGATCCATCTGATTTATAATCAATCATAAATGCATATTTCCATATATTACTAAATACGCGCCAGATTTCGAAACATCACATTTCGAAATCTGGAAGTGTGTTTGCAGTACCATTATTCATATGATAACGGTAGTGTTTACACGCGGGGCTTATTGTATGTGAAAGTAACCTCGGAATGGACGTGAATTACCAGGCATTCTGAAATGGGTTGCTGGATCTGCAGTAGAGCTATCGCTTTCTAACTCCCGGACTAAACTTGCTTTAAATTATTACATCAAGGATTGTTGTAAGCAAATTTCTTCCATAATACCACTGCTGGCCAGTGGGGGTTAGATTGAATACACATACACACACACATACACATCACATGAACTTAAGTTTACTTTAATTGATTATAATTCAAATTGAAAAGACATAGAGGTTTTGGGCTTACGGGAGAAGAGGTAGTACAATTATTTTCAACATATTTCCTTCCTTTTAATTAGCTACGGGTGTGACAACGATGGCGAGTTCACTATGTTATATTTTCATTTTATTTCAGCAACCTTATCTTTCAGCAGATGATCCGGACAGCAATTTCAACATTAATAAAAAAAACTACATATGCCAGCAACACTGACTGGGTGTATCCTATGGCTTACCTTCCCTACTAACATAATTCCTAAATTCCCGAGACATTTATGAGGGGTCGTAGAGTTCTCTGCATCTCTCTTAAGTAAATGTTGGACTAACATACCTTTCCTATCCCTACCAGTTGTAAGGACGTGGCCAGGACAATCCTTAACTGTTGGAGCGGGATATGTCTTTATCTGGGAGATAGTAATTACTTCCTACTTACTATCTGTCCAGTAATAGATATCCGTCTTGCTCTTAATAGTTTTGAATTCGTACCACCTACGATATTGTGCAACTTGTTCGATGCTAATGCTAATGCTAATGCTAAAAAGACTTTTCTCTACAACTATGTCTAAGACGTCATTTCGATCAGAAGTGACGTTTTCGTGCTACAATTTATTGAAAAATGTCAAAGACGCCATTTTGGAAAAAAAAAATACAGAATCCAAAATGGCTATTTTTTTTTTTCAAACAATCATGCAAAATTTCATGCAAATCGGTGAGTCGTCTAGTCAAAAAAGTAGAAGAGTCTGTGCCTAGGGGCACGAACGGAGGCTTGACGCAGGACCGCTAGTGGACGGAACAAATATGTTGATCATTTAGTTCTTAACTCTTTCCGTTTTTGAATTGGTGGCCCTCAAATGGTGGCCACACCAGTGCAAGTCGATGCCTATTGCAAGAAGCCTTTCCTCCGGTCTATGTGGGTGCTTTCGTCGTCGTCTCGGTGATGTCACATATACAGATTTATCTGTAATAATACAGATCATTCTCAAAGTTTGAATACTGATATCTGCATTTATAGATTACAGATTTTTTTTTAATATACAGATTTTTCAGATTTTTCAGATTTTTCAGATTTTTCAAATAAGTGTTAAGTTTAACTCTGGATTGTTTTTATTAATATCCATAAATAATCTTTTCTTCCTTTAGAGTAGGTACAAGCACCTAACCAAATACCAATTTTTCACTTTCTTCATTAATTTTGAACGGAC